AGTTACTTGTCACTACTTTTGCCACTATCACTCTGATCTGAGCCATTATCAGCTCTCATCTGAAATATTAATAACCTATAACCAGATGCCCTGCTTCTCTCCTTCCCATACTTATATTTTTAGAGAGCATCCATGATGATTTTTATATATATTTTATTGATTTTTTACAGAGAGGAAGGGAGAGGGATAGAGAGTCAGAAACATCGATGAGAGAGAAACATCGATCAGCTGCCTCCTACACACTCCACACTGGGGATGTGCCCGCAACCAAGGCACATGCCCCCAACCAGAATTGAACCTGGGACCCTTGAGTCCGCAGGCCGATGCTCTATCCACTGAGCCAAACTGGTCAGGGCCATAATGATTTTTTTAAAAACATAACCCAGATAATATAATTATTTGTTCAAAATATTCCAATCATTCCCCATTTTCCCTCAAAATAAAATTCAAAGCCCTTTAATGTCCTACAGGACTCTGGATGACCTGGCCTGCTCTTTGATTTCATCTTCTCCTAGTGCTTTCTCCCTTACTCACTGTCTCCAGCCACACTGGCCACTTTGATGCTCTCACAACAAATCATTCACCTTTCTGATAAGGGTCTTGCCCCTCCCTGATTGTTCTCTCCACCTGGAGCACAACTGCCTCAGATAGCTGTGTTAACACTTTTTCCTTCTTAAAATTTCTACTCAAGTCACCTTTTCAAAGAGGCATATGCTGATAACCCTATTTTAAAATTTCAATGGCAACATGTATCCTCCACCTACACATGACTTATCTCCATTATACTCTAGTAATTTCATGTCTTCAATTGTGCTTCTCAGTTTACATCATACTTCATACTTTACTTTTTTATCCATTGTTTATTTTATCTCTCATCATCACTCTCCTCTATAATGTAAGCTGCACAAGGGCTAGGTTTTTGTTTTATTCATGGATGCATTCCAAGTTCCTAGAATAGAGCTTGGAACACAATCTATAAATATTTGACAATGATTGAAAAATATGCCAAACATAATTATTTGGGTCTTTTCAAATGCTCTGTCTATTTCAAAATACAGAGCTAAATCTAATTTAGACATGATCAACATAGACGTTGATATATTGCTTTTATGACTCACATAAAATTCTGAAATGGAGAGTAAGAAACTCACTCAAATTCTTTTCAATTTTTATTTCTCTAATTAATTTTAAAATGGGTTGTGTATCTACTAATTTTTCTGTAAGATTTACAGCTACCAGCAAGGGAAATACTGTAAAAATGAGAAAATCCCCAGAGTTTCTTCCTGTTTACCATTTACTGTAGAGAATTGGATAGAAGTATATGAGGGTGCAGGTAGAATAGATATTTCAAAAAAATAACAACATTCTATTTGAGGAATCTATATCAGCTCTGTCTTCTGGACAATTTAAGAAACAGATATTAATATTTCAATCTAATGACATGAAATTAGTCTAAATAAGGTTTGCTTGAAAATTCTATTAAAGTCTGTCTCCTCCTGATCAGTTAATACTACTCAACCCCACTTTCCCTTCCCCATTTTCATACCAACCTGGATTAAAGGCCTCAACTTTAGAAATTACTAGGGGGACAGAAGAGTAAATATTCAATTTCTTAAAAAAAAAAAAAGCTCAGGCAAACAAGTGAGAAAATACGTACAGCTTCCAAACTTCAGTGGGCAGGCATGCACATCCATGGGAAAATCTTCCAAATGCATGGGACACTCAGCATGAATTGTTAACCTAAAAGTAAGGAGAACAGAAAATGAAGTCAAGCTAAACTGAATGATATTAAACATAAAGCTGAGTTCCCATTAGTATCAATAAAGTGCTCCTCAGAATAACTGGATTTTTTTGCTTTAGGTTCATCTTTATGAACACAAAGGATGGAGCAAATGAAGCAGTTAGCCTCTCAAAGCACCATTCAGTATTTAGAATTTTTATCAGATCTGAATCCCACCTTACTACCTTTAGTAAAACAAATATAACTTATGCCTTAGCTGAGCTCCCTTAACTACTATCCCCATCCAAAGAAACCTTAAAACAGCAGGTTCTGATTCATTTACTCTGATAGCATTTTAAGAATTTCTAAAGTAATTCTTCTCAGTAGGCTATCATGTAAGTTAACCAATTTAAAATTTTCACTGGAGAGGAGAGATGTGTAGAAAGATTATTCTGAGAATGAACAGGCACAAAAGATATCTCTGCTGCTCACAGCAACTACTACAGCTTTGCTAAAGGAGATGACTCTTGGAGAACAGATGCGTGCACATGCACACACACACACGCACACACACACACACACACACACCAACTGATTAGAAAAATTCAAAGGTGATGAAAGACATCAAAAACCTCAGAGGCCAAGTCTGAAGAGCTCATGGTTTCTTAACAGAAACAACATATGGGAGAGGCTGTGCATGGATTCCTCAACAGAAAACTGGATGGGGTACTATTTGTCATGCCCTATACTCATATACCTACTTTAATATGTTCAAATAATCTATTCCAAGGTTTCCTTTCCAATTTCTTTCAAAATTTTTGAACCTCTTCTTTCCTTGACCTAGATCAGGGGTGGGAACCTTTTTTTTATGCCAAGAGCTATTTGGATATTTATATATCATTTGCAGTCCATACAAAATTATCAATTTAAAAATTAGCCTGCTGGAGAAACCAAGATGGCAGCATAGGTAAACACCTGAAATTGTTGCCTCGCACAACCACTTCAAAAATACAACTAAAAGACAAAACAGACATCATCCAGAACTACAGGAAGGCTGGCTGAGTGGAAATTCTACAACTAGAAGGAAAGAGAAAAGCACACTGAGACTCAGAGGAGGTGCAGAAGTAAAGTGCAGAGTTATGGAGGCTCCAGTGTGCGCGGAAAGGGGCTGGCAATGGAGGACGCTGGTGTCTTTTGCAATCACACAAGCTCCCTATGGCCCTGACTCCAGTTTCAGGCGAGTCTCTGGGGACCCAGACTCATACGGGAAGAAACTGGACTGTCTGTCGGGCAGAACTTGAGAGCGGCTTTCTCTCAGAGGTGCTTGCAGCGATTACCACAGAAAAGTGGGACCCGGGGCCTCTTAGGGCAGGACTGAGGATCATCCATAGCTGTTCTCTCAGAGGTGCTAGCAGCGATTACCAGGACACTGAGACCCGGGACCTCTTAGGGCAGGACTGAGGATCAGTCATAGCTGTTTGCTCCACCCTGTTGATTCCCTGAGACCCTGCCCCACCCAGGCTGTGCACAGAGGCTTCTGCATATGAATGGGCTGGCCCTTTGAGATCTAAAATTACCAAACAAACTGAAGATGGGTCAAGAAGACCCAGAACATCCAAAAGAAGGCCCAAGGCCCCACAGCAGTTGACATTGTTTCACAGCTGGGCCTCATCTCAGCACCTCCAAAACCCAAACAAGGAAGAGGAACCTGCAGATCTCTCTGTAGCTCCTGCTGGGTAGCCTCAGGCAGAGGCTAAATTAGCACCTCCTTAGAGATCTAAGAGCCAGTGGTCAGATTGGGACCTTCCAGATTACAACTCCTCAGATCCATAAGGGACACATTCATGGGGCAGACTCAGTGAGCACCAAAGCCCCACCGAAGCAAGTCTTGCCCCATAAGGCTGTCTCCAGCACAGAAGTTC